ATGGATGGATGGATGGATGGATGGATGGATGGATGGATGGATGGATGCTGTGCTGCCTCACGTTCCGGAGGCGTCAGTTTCTGGCGGTTCCCGTCGTTCCGGACAGTCTCTGCACAGTTTCCGGAGGGTTCCGAAGGGTTAGTAACAAGAAGTTCCAAACAAGCGGTGTGAAACAAACCGGAGGTGACATCGTTCTCTGTGCAGGTTCCAGGGGTTACCTGCTTCACCGAGGGTTGAAAAGAAAGGGTCGAGGGTGAAAAAGAAAGGGTGAAGGGTGAAAAAAACAAGGTGAAGGGTGAAAGAAACATGCTACAGGGTGAAAATAGAAGGTTTTAGAAGGGTGAAAAGAAAAGGTTCCAAAGGGTGGTGAAAAAAGGAATCTTGAGGGTGAAAAAAAAAGGGTTTCGAGGGTTGAACAAAAGGGAGGGTGAAAAAAATACATTGTTCAAGGGTGAAACAAAGGGAGCCCATATCTAATTGACAACTGACACACCATCTTTTCAACAAACAGTCAGTTATTTCCGTTGTTGCTTCAGGCAAGCATGCAAATGCAGCATAGCTGCTCAATCATCCACCCCAAACACGTTTGAAACTTCTTGCTACGTGGCCTACAATCATGTCCGTCTCCTCGGGCACCTCCCATGTCTTGATGGGTCTCGCGCATTCCACGTCGGCATCGGCATAGTAACCTCCGAAGGCCCAGAGGACCAAATATCGAAAAACATCCGCCTTTTCAACGGGCGTAAAGCCCTCCCAAATGGGCCAAAGCAAGTCGGGAGATTTGGACTGAGCCAGCTCCGTGATCTCCGTGTCGTTCCAAAGCTTGTATTCACATGTTGGATTCATCTCTTTCCACGAATCTGCATAGCTACCCTGCGGTTGGTTCAGCTGATGTGTTTTCCAGGTCTGATGGATGATGCAAGGGATGCTCTGTGGCCCAACATGTGTCCTTCGTCTTGCTCGATGCTTGTGCGCTTGAAATAAAGCAGTGCACTCCGCAGCGTCATTGGAGGTGCGCTCCTGCAGTAATTGCTCAGCAGTCAATCAAAACTTCCATTTAAGGTGTTGTTTGTCGGGACTTAAATTGTGTATCCAAGTATCCAAGCGAACAAACCTAGGAGTTCTTAGAAATGTTGCGTCAACACTGTAGATCGAGCAAAAGCATACAAAAGCATCCTCAGACTCCTGACTGTGCACACATGCAAAGAGAGCTAGAAGCCGCAAAAGCCGTGCAGCTTTCCGGAACTCCATTGGCCTTCACTACTCGGTTCGGTGTGGCTTGAGCCACTCAGCAATGGCAAAAGCAGATTATCTTCTCAGTCAAAATGCAGGAGATTCGGAATCCTCTTTGAGTTTCATGCATGGAATTCCTATGTTGTGCGTCTTTGTTCTTTCAAGCAGTGTATTCTGGTTTCCAAGAAGGTCCACTGAGAGCGCCGCAATCTGCCTCGCACTACCGCGTGAGAGCGCCATCCGCCGTGTGGGCTCTAGGCTGGCATAGAGGTTGGGCTGGCTGTCTGATTCCAACAAAGGCGACATGCACACATCTTTGGATCCAGACAATCTGGTCAGAGCTGTCCAAAATACTCAAAGGAAGCCATGCAAACAGACTGAACAAAGACTCCAAAGAGATCATCTGTTTCACCCTGGATCGGGCCAGCCAGCCTCTGAAATCTTCTCATTGCGACTCGCCAAAGGCCTGATCGGGGGTGATCGAGGTCACCGACCCTCAGTGGTTGACATGCTACTAGTAACTATAATGGCCTCCAACCTACTAGCGATGGCCTCCACCCTAGTAGTGATGGCCTCCAACCTATATATATATATAGTAGCTTCTTGCTACATCTTGCTACTAGATGATACTAGTAGTAATGGCCTCGAACCCACTTGTGCCCACCCCTGGACCACTGGGCAAACTCCCCGAACCTTCCTCGCCTCAATTAGGGCCCGCAGCAGCCGCTCGTAAATGACAAAGAACACAGTACACCTAAGAGCTCAATGAACTGAAGAGTGGAATCCAGTTCCAAAAAGAAATCAGTGAACAGACGCAAGAATGATACCAGTCAGTATCTTGACTTCAGTGATCTTCAGTGATACTATAGATCCTAGTGATCGGCTCGTGCGGTGTTTGGACGAAACGCGTCAGAGGCAAACTATCTTCGAAAGCCTCAACAAAGCCACAATTAATTGCATAGTTCACTTATGTTCGTTTGGTTTCCCAGGATGGCAAGTGATATTCTGAGTCAAGCACCAAATGAGTTTGCGACAAACGATGAGGAGAAAGCCCTGCAGTTTCAAGAGGGGGAAGGACTTGGGGTAGCTAATGTCATTCATGTGGCTGTCGCAAACGACCTTGTAGCTATATTCACTGTGGAAACATGCGGAAACCCTCCCAGATTCCATCTTCTCACAGGGTTGACTCGAAATGCCTTTCCAACATGGGCGAAGCTGCAAACTATCTTCGTTTGCCTTGTAGAGGGCCAGAAACCCCTCATCGCCTTGGACAGGCGAGTAGCTGTATGATAGGAAGAAGTCTCCGGAACTGGAAGAGCTCACATACTAAGTGACTAGGAGCGATCGGACGCTACGAAGTGGGGCTCCTGGCCTTACTACTAGGAGCAAGAGGACGCTACTAAGTGGGGCTCCTGGCATCGCTACGAACGGAACGATCGGACGCTACTAGGACCGGAGCCTGTGCATGTGGTCATATGATGTCCCACAAGCGATCAGGCACTCTTGGTCACCAAGAGTCTGACGAAGGATGCAAAAGCCAGCGTGGACGATACCCCGGTAAGCCTGCGGCCGCAATCGAATCAATCTGGAAGGCTTTGAGCCTTCGGTGGCCGGACTGAAAAGTGTGATCATTCTCAATAGTTTGTGACAGAATCCAGTAGGCTCAGTAGACATGAGTGAACACATGAGTGAACAACATCATAAAATCGTATTAGGTCATGCTCGGCCCCCCTTCACCACCTTCACCTTTACCCGACACAAACTGAATTTCTCCAATCCGCTAGTAGCTTATTGTTTCTAATAGCTTCTTGTTACTACTAGCAAGGCACTTGTTACTACTAGCGATGCACTTGTTCCTAGTAGCTTATTGTTTCTAATAGCTTCAAGTAGCTTCAAGTGTTAATATGTCAATCCGCCATAAGACCAAACTTTCGTTCGCCTGGTCGGAACCTGCTGCGTTCATGAAGCGGGTCTTCACCACGTCTGCAGGTGTTGAAACCTAGCACGGAAGCATCTCTCAAGTGCTTTTTCAGGTGGAGAAACAACATCAACTGCAAAATTCCCAGCTAGCCAAGGCGAGAAATGCCGACATGAATGAAATCCGTTCCGCCGACGGCGCCGAAGCGCCGAACTGCGAACCGCCCAAGAAAGAGACATCTCTGCTAGATGAGTCCATGCAAAGAGGTGCCAAAATCCGGATGCTAAATGATGATTATGATGAATGTATGGACAACGAAACACTGATTGTGTTGGCCACTTGCGAAGAATCTGCACCCAAGACAGACTTGTTGATCGTCCTTCTTGTTCCAAGAAATGGGTCGAACTCGAGTCGAACCCATCGCTGTTTAATTAGGCCATCCATGGCCATCCCAGACGAAAACCAACCACTTTATTGAGACAATACTTACAGTACCGTTACGTATGGTTTGTTCATTGTCCGTCTGAAACCCTTGGACTCTGCCAGGGAAGATCTGGGAAGCAGGACACAAGCGGAAGCAAGGCCAGCCACAAAGCTGGCTGAAACATGCGCAACCTGCAGGATCAATGGGCATTCGGCGCCAGTCCAAATGATGCTAACCACAAATGTTGAGGTCTTTGACTAGCAAGAATCACAAGTGGTGACAACTCAGAGCCAGTCTTTCGTAGGTGTCCATCTTTTTGACAATGCTCCAGAAACTGTTAGGCTGAATTGTCCGGACCAGCTGTCTGATTGTTAACACAAATGGAGCAGGTCGACAACCCCGAAGATCTTCGCCGAACGAACGCTATTGATGCCATGACATGAACCGAGGCGCGCCCAGTGAAGAGGCTCCGCACTGAGGCTCCGACCAAACCATCCCCGACGGACTCCAGAAAGACCAGCTTTGACTCGTCATAGGTACCTTGCCCCCCAAAAAGGAACAAACAGGGTATAGTGGGGCATGCTGAAGCACCAACTTGTAGATGCCAGGCCTATTTCAGCACCATTGACAAGGAATGTCCTGGACAGTTGGAGCAATCATGACCACATGCCAAGCAGTCAAATTGAAACCCAAACGCCCAACGCCGACAAAACTCCTGTGCTGTGAAGCAACAGTTTGAGGGTGCAATGATTGAAAGCCTTGTAAAAGGCTTGCTCGGCTTCCTCTGCTCAATCTGGAACTATTTCCAGTCCTGACCACGTTGGGTCGGAGTCCAGCCCAAAAGCCTTTCAAGCCATCTTTGTTCCAAACCTCAATGTCCCACGCCGACGAAGCTATTCTCAATAGAATGATAGAAACATGACGTAGACTCCCCTTCTGGAATGGAAGTTGGAATTGCTTCCATGTCAGCCACGGAGAGACTCTGCTGCTAGCCACAACCAGCAATCGTCAAAGTGGGTAACTATATAGTACCAGACACCACCCCAACCCAGTGACTTGCGCAGCAAGCTGCCTTCCGTGCAACCTGCCACATCGAAAAAACGGCGACATCCGGGGCAATGATCACAATGGATGCAGCATCGTTGGGCCAACTGCATGATAAGCCATGGCGATGACCAAATGTGACACACAGCTTCTCAATGCTTCTTACCCCCGCGCAGCTGGCTGGAGTTTAATGTTTGCTCACTGCCAAAGAACCCCAGGCTTCATGTCATGTTGAGACTTTAGACATGACGAAACGCGCTTCAGAACATCTTCAGAACGGAGTTTCGAACCCTCCCAACGCCCCTTGCCTCTTTCATGGTCACGTTGCCGGAACTGCTTTGCATCTGTGTCTTCAGCACCTCGCAGTCTTCAAGTTCAATCGAGGAAGACCAGTGCCTACCACCTCTTCGTGGAGCTTGAGCGTCCACCAGTGTTAACTTCCACACAGTTTCAAAGACCAGCAGTCATCCTCAAACACTGCATTGACAAATGGCCCGGCCACATCATGCCACATCTTTAATGTCACCGTTGGACTTCCGAGGGAGGCCCATCCAAAAAGCGTTGTGAATCACCATCTCGGCTTGCCACATAGGACATAGGCATCCACGAGCTTTCACGCATGTACTGGTAAGGATGCTTCAGTATGTCTTTGGCTTACACCTTTGGCTTCCCTCTTCAGGTTGGGGCACTGCCCACCCTTGTTTCCAACATGCCTCTACAGCATTCTATAGCGTCTTAAAGGTTCGCAGGTCCTGCAACCCAAGTGATAGTCCTCCCAGTATTAATACCCAAATTCCACAGCACCCCCCAAAACAGCTGTCCACACAAAAGAGATGCTTCACTGATCACCCGTGGAAGGTCAGGAACCCAACTATGTCATGGTGTGTAGCTCCCAAAAAAGGAGACCGACCCCGGTTCGACCGGAAGAATGGACATGGAGTCTGCCCGTCAGGTCCAACGGGGGTCTCCATACCTCGGTACCCAGTTCTAACTTCGATGCCTCAAGCATCCTAGTAGCTTCTTGTTAGCAGAAGCAAGAATGCTCCTAGTAGCGATGCCAGGAGCCCCTAGTAGCGTCCTTGCTCCTAGTAACGATGCCAGGAGCCCCTACCCGTTCTCATGCCATCTCCATTGGCCTCTGTAGGATTGAAAAGCGCAATGGCAATGGCCGCAGAGCTTCCCGCAGCCAAGAGTCGCCTGAGTGGAGTGAATCAACTGGAGTGGTTCCCTCTGCAATTTTCCAGATACACTTTCTTTGCTTTGCATGCTTTGCTTTGTTTGCTTCCTTTCTTCCTTTGTGTCCTTTTTCACTGGTGACAGGAGTGAAATCTTCTGGTGCATTTTTTTTGCCGAGGACATCGCTGAAAATAATTGCTCCTCCCAGCTTCCATTGCCAGGACTAAGCTCACCATGTCCTTCCGCTTTCGTCCGACTGGTCAACAGCTAATCCCATGCTAATCCGATGGGGACGATTCCAACGACCTACTGGAAATCGCACACGTGCCTTCGATGGCCTCAATATTTTTCAGCAACTATAGCTATCATCGCTCAACTGTCGGAAGAAGACATGATGTCCCTGATGGGCTCATAAAGGACAAAGGTGAAGGAGTGGTAGCTCACCTCGGAAGGGCTATCCTACAAACTGCTTGGTTCTGCCCTTGCAAAGAACTGTTTGTTCAATTCCCCATTTTTTGAGCTATTGGGGTTCTTACCTCAAATTTGGGAAAAGGTGCTTGTGGCACTTTGGGGACTGGGTGTTGGTGCCACTGCAGCCGCCCGCAGCCAAATGTGTATGGCTGTGTGCGCTTCGGAGCTTGAGTGCTGCTGCTGTTGCAGGGTGCCGCTGGAAGGTGCCGCTGGAGGGTGCTTGTCAGATGTCTGTGACCGTGGACCGTGCACGCCTTGGAGCTTGGATGTTGGTGCCGCTGTAGGGTGCTCGGATGCCTATGGACGTGTGTGCTTTGGAGCTTGGGTGTTGGTACAGGGCGTGGCTGCAGCATGCCGGTGCCAGATGTGCATGACTGTATGCGTTTTGGAGCTGGATGCTGGTGCAGGGCGCCCCTGCCAAATCACGTTTAGTGCTTGAATGCTGGCGCAATCTTGGACCAGTTTGGAAGCTGATGGAAGCTGAACACATTTGAGATACTGAATTGCTGAAGTCAGCTGCTGTGATTGTTGTCTGAGCCATGTTTGGAGCTAAATGACCAAGAACCGCTACCTTACGCCCCTTACGCAGCAACAGTGACTCCTGGCAAGAAGCACACATTTTGATATGTCAAAGATTTCGGCCGGTAAATTAAAACTCGTGATACAACTACAACGCCTAGCAAATCTACTATATACTATGCAATATTATACAATGTAAATGCACAATGCATCAAGCCACCAGGACATTGTCCATCAAGTCAAGCTTGCGAAGCCAAGGTCTTGGCTTGTCGAATCAAAGCAGGTACAAGTCCCTTCCAAAGCCTCAAACATTCCACGTGTGTGTGTGTGTGTGCATGCCATCGCTTGCCCAGATTCGAAGTCAGTTCACTGATTCAAATTCTGTCAAAGATACTCTAAGAGTCACATAGCCCTTCACTCTAATTACCAAACCTACTCAATGATATCAAAGAAAACTAGGGATATCCGGGATTCTGTTCTTCTGTTGACAGTCCATCTTATAGATCCTATGACCGGTTCCGGTGATTTGGCGTATCTGAGTATCTCGTGCGAGGCATCGTTTCTGCCGTCGGCCCGGTTCCACTTGAAGTTCCCTCTAATGTAGACTCTTGATAATAGTAATAATAACATGATATAACATGTACTCATTGTGGCTTGTAAAACCTCTTGATGTGCTTATTTCAATTTCATATAATCAACCGTCTACATTAAGCCTCTGAACCGAACCTCTGCCGGATATTTCAGGATCGTCCGGTGAGCAGTTCTCGTGCTGAGGAAACCCGACGCTCTCAAACCCTCAACGCGCGCCACCTCACATCGTGCGCCATGAAAGAAACGACAATCGGGGACTGAAGCGGATCGACATAGAATACTTGAAATGTGCGGGCATCAGCGCTGTCCGGCATCACGTCAATTGGACTGTGCGATAGGCATTCACACTTGTGGAACAAGGACAAACTTCACCAAAGAAGTCGCTGGGACTGTGGTATGCCGAGCCACCTTCACAATGCAGTCCACCATGCCATGGTACCTGATGACAATGACTCTTCCAACGCGCTGCAACGGGAAATGGAGACGGAGACGGGCGACATCTTCAGGGGATTAAGAGGTCGAGATTGGTTCACCAAGCATGACGACTATTGCCTTAACTCTAACTCTATAGCACGTAAACTTGAATAGCGGATCAAAATGGTACGAAGGATTCGCCTTCTATAATATTTTCCTGTTTGATTTCCGAAGGTCCCTGTATGGCTTTTTGTCTTTCGAGAGTACTTACTCCGTCACAGTGCTGATACTACCACCTCTTGCCCCACCACCACAATTAGGAATAGCGAGGGAGCAGCATTCCCAACAGTACAACATCACACAGCCATACTGCGCTGGTTCAGGTTTGAGACATTTATATAACTACTGGGTGTGCAAGTAGTTCAATCAATCACCATGCTATTGCCTCGAGGTAGCTACAGGGGCCCGATAACTGTAGCTGAGAAATGTTGGTAAGTATAGGGTAGTGGGATTGGTGGCGCTATTTTTTGTAGTTGTTAAAGATTCTTTCTTTGGTGTCAGTGGGGATGAGGGCTCAATCAAGTTCGAAGTCACTGCGTGTGATCCTACACAATATCGTGTTTGCACATACCCTCGGTTGTTGTAATGGAACTGCGCATTTGCCAATCTGCCAGCATGTTTGGCTCAGGATCCTTGATCAGTCATGATGCAACAAATTCTTGTCACAGTCACGTTCCCGGCCCAAGCTACACAGGACTCAGACCGCAAGATGATGCAAGTAAACCCTTGCTTCATTTGTGTGTCCTACACTTTTCCTATTATATGGACGCTACATGACGCTACTAGGAGCAAGGACGCTACTAGGGGCTCCTGGCCTTACTACTAGGAGAAAGAAGCTACTAGGAGCAAAGGGCATCGCTACTAGAAGCAAGGACGCTACTGCACTTTGGTTTGAGGGCTCTGATGAGGGTAACCCGACGTTCCTGACGTTCCTGGTTGTTCCTGCCTGAGCTCTCCCAAAGAACTGCTCTGCAGCTGCAGGCGGACCTTAGGACTCTCCACGCATGTTGAGACTTGGCTTGCTAAGTTTCTTCTGAAGGCTTGGAGAAAAAACACAAAATTGGAAATGAAGAACGCCCAAGGACCTGGGGGCCAAATCTTGGAAGGGCACAATCAACACGTCGACTCAGACTTCTCAACAAGTGCACCTTCGCGACATCGGTGGGTAAGGTGGCCGCCTGACAAAGCAAACTTCAACAACGGAGATCTGCTCATTGCGGCTCTATGCGGCTCTGTCACAGCCTCCGCAATACCAGCACCGACAGCCGAAGCGAGCAGCCTCAGTGAAACGTCTTCACAACCACTGTGTGATCCTGTGTTCCTCTTCGCATGGAGCTGTGGCCGCACAGCAGTCGTTTGGCCATGTTTGGACCTGTTCTTCTGACGAGAGGATCCAGGATCCAAAAGCAGGTCGGAACGGGCGTGTTTTCACCCACGTGGCTCGGTCACACAAACAAAGCGAAAAGCAAAGCGCCCGACTGGGCCTGACTCGGCCCGACTAGGACCTCTCTGAATGTTCCACACGCAGTCCCCTCAGGTCCCCTCCGAATTGTTGCAGAGGACCCCTCCATGTTGGAGGCCTTCACAAAGCAAAGGCTTCCGAAGTTCAATGTCATGCACAGGTCCCCCGAAAAAGATAGAAATGGTGTCCAATATGTTCTTGAGGGAATCACCTTTTCTATATATTTTGGGATAACGTATTGAACATGTTAGGAAATTTCACCCTGACCATGATCGGGTACTGTAATTCTTTCAATCTTTAACACGTCCTAGTCACAACAGGACCACAACCAAGCAAATGTTCAACTATCAATAAACAACCAAATTATGGCAATCTTTGGGATAGGTCGGTGATCGGCACCGAGCTTTGGCAAAACCTTGCTCGGATTCCCTGCTCTATCTCACTATGAACAGGTCTTCATTGCGTTACTATGCCTTACCCAGCTAAATACTAAAGTCTGGCTTTTGTTTCATTCACCCGGGCTCAGCCCAAACTACCCATAGCTCACCGATGGTCACTGTGTGAATTTTGCCAACATCTGGCTCAGCCTCTTGAGCTCAAACGAGATGAGCCATGGCCCAGCACAAGAACTTCTCATTACGTGGAGCAAATCTTTCCAACAGTTGCTAGTTCCGTACCCTTGTATATATTGAAATAAGAATATAACATCTAGCATATTCTCATAGGTTGCAAAGGTTCCTTCGCTGCTTGGACCTGATCAAACATGTGCCTGGTCGATGGTGTTGAACCTTTGCTTTCAAAGGAAACACTGAAAACCAAACCACCAATCTTTATCAATCTTTGGGGCTCTACAAACAGCCATGTGTGATGTTTGTTTGCTGATGTCCTGCCCCTCAATGTCCGCTTGCACATGATTCTTTTGCGTTTCTCCATCTTTCTCCTGCTTGCGCCTGCGTGAAATGACAAACGTGTCATCCCGTGAAAGTTCAATAACAATGGTCGCTGCTGCAATGGTCGCCAGTTGTTCCCGAACAGCGCCAAAGGAGTGAAGACTGAGTCGTCAGTTGCTCATCTCGTCGAAACCGCAAAGGACGAACGGAGGTTCTGGCATTCAGAAGGCGTAGAAGGAGAGTGCCACGTCTTTTGATGCAGCAGGGCACTCCAAGGCCGGCGCACTCTCCGATTTGCGGATGCATCGACCGATCTAAATCTAATTGACACACATCATTTCACAACTTGCTTGCAGTTCTCCGAAGCACTCTCAATTCACTTTGGATAGAGAAATGAGACATGAAATGACTGTGTTTTGTGTGGCCGCATGTTTGTCCGGCATGAGCCAATTGATAACAGCGCTTTACTTAGAATAGAACTAGGACACTTTTGGGCTTGAACTCGACCATCAGCTACCGTCACTTGGCTCACCCCTTTAAACTGTGCCATTCAAAATCATCCATCTGATTCAGGGTCGCATCGGACTCCCGAGTGAAACCACTTGTGGGAAAACACGGAAAGGATTTGGCATCCAGAGGCTCCACATGGCACAGCACCAGAGGCTCCGTGGCTTGACATCTGTCAGTGCTTTCGACCAGATCCATGGAGCCCATGGACGCGGAGATGACCGTCCGCAGTTACTACTAGCTTCTTGTTTCTACTAGCTTCTTGTTACTAGTAGTAAGGCACTTGTTACTACTAGCTTCGGGTTTCGAGTCCGTCCTAAGGCAGGAAAAAGCGCCGTCCAAAGCTCAGAAAGTTGGACCGCCTAAGAGCGAGGAACGTTTTACATCACTCCAAGATCGAGTTTCAGAACGCATCAAAGCACCGACTTGATGTCTACTGTCTACTATAATATTCTATTGTCCTAAAGCTGCGTCTTACTACATCTTCCTTCTGATTCTTCTCTTGGATGTCTAACTCCACCTCTACTCATCTGGCAGGTTGGTGCCACGAGCTGTCCAGCAAAGTGTGGCCTTGGTGTATTGCCATAGCCGCAGTCTCTCAGCGCAGCCTTGGCCACAAACCGAAAAGAGCGTGAAGCAATGCGTAACTTGAACATTCCCAAACAGGTGCAAAAAATGGGGAGGTTCTGTCTGTGAAGCATACTCCTCAGACCCAAACCAGAGCTTCCCTCTGAATGTACGATTCCCTAGGATTCCGAAACGTGACTGTTCTCTCGCTCCTGTCGAGCCAATGAACGATGTGTCATTTCAAACCAGACTTAATCTTTAACAAAAAGTCAAGAGATGCCTGCAAAATAAACACAGTTTGGCCGATTTCCAGCTGGAAGTTTGAGGGTTTAACCGTGGTCCATGCCGTGTTCCTCTTGTTTCTGCACGTTTTGTTCATTAGCCTAGTGGTTTCTAATGGTTTATGTTTGTATATCTACCCTGGAGTACCCTACGTAGTGGAAGGGCTGTGAGGGGCGGGACATGAATCGCAAGACACATCGAGGATCACCGAGGCCTTTGGCGCCTTAAATAGAGGTGTTGGTCCCGCATCGAAGATGGGGTGCTGCCTCTCTAGGATGCCCGACTCCCATCGCATGTGTCATTGTGTCCATGCTCTCTCCCATGAAGCCAATGTCCTGGCGCAGAGTGACAAGAAGCTACAAGGTGGAGGATATCGCTATTAGGTTAGAGGCCACTACTACTAGGAACAAGAAGCTACGAACGTAACAAAGTGCATCACTACTAGGAGCGATCGGACGCTACGAACGGGGCTCCTGGCCTTACTAGCAGTAACAATGACTATGATGAACGTAACGCGTTCAGTGAAGCTACGAACGTAACGCTCACCTGTGATCGCACCAACGAGCACCGAACGCATCGAGTCCCTGCACACCTGGGAGCACCAGAAGCGTTGCAATGGGTCCTGGAGCGATCCGATCGGCGAGGGGTCGGCCGGGAGGAGCGCAGCCAGGCAGCCAAAACATGCCAGCATGCAATACTGGATCTGCCAAAATACCAGATGCTGCGCCCCTACCATGTCCAATATTTAATTGAGCTGATGCACCCAACGCCCTGCCTTACATCTCTGAGTAGCTCGACTGATAGCCTTAGGAACGAATCTCACAGAACTTCAAGCTCCTGTGATTGCTCCATCGATGTGATGTCCAAGCTTCTGCCCAGAGGTGAAAGCGGCCACACAAATGTATTCAACACTTTCTCCGTACTTTGGTGAACTGGTGAACCTGTCGCCAACTGCTTCTGGCCACCAAGTCCCTGACCTCCATCAAGAAGAAGAAGCCGGCCATAGCACCACCCACAAAGCTGGCACAAGCGCTACCTCATCACCCCAAAAAAATATATAGACAAAAAACAAATGATGTGGCCACATCTGCAGCATGGTGCATCTGGCAATCTGTGGGTCAAAGAGACTGCAAACTGTAAATACATATTCATGCTTTTCAATGGGGGTGTGACATATTGGAATATGGAGACCCCCAAGCCATTAGACATTCTGCACACAAAAGCAGCCCAACCTCTCTCTAAACCAGCAAAGCTCCGGCACATGCTGCTCCAAGATTGGTCTTCCCAAACCATCGCTTTCGGGGTACACGCACTCGCTGTCAATATATGTCATTGAAAGACCCATCGCGAGTTTGGAGTGTTTCCAAGGGTATCGAGGAGTATGATGGTGCAAAGGTGTAAAGCTATCGCAGGGTGCCCCGGGTGCCAAAGCGCTTTTCACCTTCGATGTGTTCATTGACGTGGAGTCGACATCCCGAGCAGCTGGCTGGAAGTACCAGTGGTACACTCGTCGGCACCCTGCACCAAACAAAAGGAGTCTCACACTCGTGGAGCGTGCGCTCCACAGATCTTGTGAGCAAAAGACAGAACCTTCAGATAAAGATACGTCTCCTCTGTCCTTGTTTCGTGGTTTGTGCATATCGGAAAGTGCATGTATATATGCATGTATTGAATATGCATATCTGAATGGTCTGGACAGATTTTAGTCAGATCATGGACCATCAACTTGTCACAGAAAGACCAGCGACTAGTAGTGACTAGCATCTTGGTTGCCTCGGACATCTCACTCACTGCCACCGAGAGCAACTTGAGCGTGGAACTGGTGAACCTCGAGAAACGCACCGTTTTTCAGTGTTCAAAGTGCTTTCGCTGCAACGAGCCAGCTGCTGAACGTTGGGGAGTTCAGGCAAAAAAAAACACTTTTGCTGGGAGAAGCCGGTGTCAATGTGATTTATACACCGGTGTCAATGTTGTATTCTGAACTGTTCCCAATACACGGTACGTAGAAATAACATGAAATAAGTAACTCTAATCAAGTGAGGAGAATTCATTGTTGAAGGCCCATCCCATCTCATAAACTCGTGTGACTCTTGATAAGCGGCGTACCTGGCACATCTGCCACGCCGAATGTAGTTGATCTGGCATGTCATACTTCTTTTTGCACGCTGACCAAACAGCTTGACGTCTGCATGCAATTATACTTGTGACACACTGATGCAAAAACTGCACACTGCACACTACAGTACAGTAAAGTTATGTCATTGCTTCACCGTGTAAAGAGGTATCCTAATTGTGTTCGTAGTTGGCGTCAGTACTTTCTGGTTCAGCTCCATGTCCACTGCAAAAGCGGAAACACGAGAAAGATGCTCACAAAAGCTTCACCATGCCAACAAAGCCCCCTACCCTATTGTCTTCCAATCGGCAGCACAGTCAACAGGATAGCGTTTGCGATATGAACACTGCAAATTGGCCTGCAGCAAAGTGTACTCACCAAACGTAAATGCCAAAAGGCTTTGTATGGCTTTGCTATTTGTTTCTCGTGATTTGTTATGTTTCTAAATCCTTCACACAAGTCTAAAGTTGAACATACTTAAGAATCCAGTGTCTTCCGCCTCACGTACCTCCACGATTCTCTCCGCGGTGCCTGTGATTGTTCTCAAGTATTGGACTCTGGGCTTGACAGCATTGCATGAAGCCCCACTGTGTGTCTAAAATCTCGCCATTGCTGGCAACCTCATGGGTCCTCCCCATGAGTCCTGCTTGCTTTGTGGAACTACCAAGACATACCCACAGACCCACAGAGAGCTCTGTTGTACAAATCAAAAGACCATAAGCATGGATGAGACGGAATGAGCGTTCAAGCGATTATAAATATGTGTGTATGAATAAATACACGCATATTTCATCACAAGGCAATCTTCCAGGAAGAACGTACTAAGGGGCTGGCAATCACATTGAAAAGTGCCTGAGAGCGGTCTGCCCAAAGCCAAGTTGGGACTCTGCTTGTGAAGACAAGGGGACATACGGTAGCTAGTTTGGGTTGCCTGCATGCCAACATGTGGTGGGACAAATCATACGAAGATCATGTTCATAATCATGTCCATTCATGTTCATTCAACATACTTCAAGTTCAGACCAACAGGAATGATGTCCTCCAATTCCTTTCGTTGACAAAACACCTCTACAAAACACATCAAAACACACCCAACCACACTTGGACGCAAAATCACTACTAGGTTGGAGGCCATCGCTATTAATATTAGGACACGCCGCACCACACTTGGAGGCAAGGAGCCGTTCTGTAATTCCGTGCAGCAGCTCAGTGGGCTCACGCATTCCAGGCGCATCACGGACATAGACTGCGGGACATAGACAGCGGGACTGCTCAAATGGGCATGGCTGATCATGGAGGGTTGCAAGAAATCCTGTTATATTATGTTATATTATCAGTCTCGCAGCTTGTCAACCCAACTGTTCCAAGATGGTCCAAGTACGGTGGCACTGATGGCAGAAAGGCCGAGGTTCATGGAGGTCTCCCTGGATCGAATTATCTTGATATAATAATTATAGCGTTCTTGTTTCTAATAGCAAACATTGTTACTACTAGTAAGGCACTTGTTACTAGAAGCGATGCACTTGTTACTAGTAGCTTCTTGTTACTACTAGTAAGGCACTTGTTACTAGAAGCGATGCACTTGTTACTAGTAGCTTCTTGTTACTACTAGTAGGGCACTTGTTACTAGTAGCTTCTTGTTACTACTAGTAAGGCACTTGTTACTAGTAGCTTCTTTTGACTACTAGTAAGGCACTTGTTACTAGTAGCTTCTTGTTACTACTAGT